ATGGAGGACATAAAAGATTGTAATGTTTATTAAAGCATTAACGTGGGAGTCTGTTCCCCAAAGTAGCAGTTCTTAGATAAAGGTTTAAGTGAAACAGTAATTTAGGATTATTTCGCCTGGCGTGACCTTGCTGTAAAGTCCTGAGCCGTTGGAACTAAAGAATGTAGATTATCTTAACGTTGACCATAGAAAAAGCGATAGATTTGCGATAATCGTGAAACGCTTCATTTGTATGAAAGAGGCTACAGAGTGAAGAATAGGTCTTGTTTTACAATAAATTTAAAGATGAAAACTTTAAATAATCTCATAGGTACTTATTAATAAAAGGAACGAGCTTTCTACCGAACATATACATACTTGCTGTAAATATGAGCAGGTTTTTATTATATGTGAGATAAAAAGAATACGGATCCGAAAAGGGCCCGTTTTAGAATTCGTAGAGGCGACAACAGAACCATTATAGCAAAAACTACGAAAATTATAAGGCCCCAGGAAGTGAAAGATAAAACGGTTTCCCTAGGCACATCCAGTTGTGATCTTGCAGACTAACAATGAAACCCAACGGAATGTAAACATGGTCACAGATGATCAACAAAGCCAAGAGGATTTCAAAATATCTTACAAAGACGTAACATTAATCCGAGTATACCTCTCTGCATAGGGCGGCTGACAAATCCCTGATGCAGACTCCTGCTCAGGCACATTTGTGCTTGTTCAACAACCACTGAGTCCACCTGTGTTTTATACCACAAATATGCTGATCACACATTAGTTACAGTTTTGAGGTGGGAGCGTATTAACTGGCGTGATCAACAGTTTAATCTGAACAAGGTCAGTACGCCCAAACCCTCAGTCACAATGACTTATGACTTCGTGCCAGTACAAACATCGACGGCTCTGAAATAATTCCGCATACCAAATTTCACTCACAAGGCTTTCACTCAACTTGTGGTTTCAGGCCCTTTCCAAAGAAGCTGTACGCTTGGGATCGCCTGAGTCAGAACGATAGCATCAAGAAGTCACCTTTCTGAGAAATCGACCATGGTGAGATTCGAAACCAGATCTCGTGGTCGGAAAGCGAAGACATAACAATGATAAAAGAATATTCTGAGTACAAAATAGGAGGAGCAGGATCAAATTATCCAAAAAAAAAAAACACATCAAGATCTCAGGAAAGTAAGAGATGAGAAAAGCAAATAAAACCCTGAAACAAAACGTCTCACGGAAGCACAAGATCTACAACGGATATTTAAAAAAAAACTACATTTCCGGGATATGTAGCGATATACTTACATGTGAGAGGTTTGCCCGATTTACATTTCAATAGAAGGGGATAATATTAAAGTTCTACATGAAATGTAAATCACTTTAGTAGATGTACTAATCGATTTATGAATATTACTAAATACACATTAATAAACCAAAACACTAAGGTTAGCTTATTGGTCGCAACTGAATACAATAAAAACTTCACTCAAAATGACTTGCTCTATAGGAGGCACCCACTTTCTATGGGAATTGTCAGAGAACAAATTCTAATGTCATAAGCTAATCAAAACATTTACTAAAACAAATTTAGCACATAGGAGCTTAAATGCAATATGATTTTTACATTCATTTTAACACAACCAAAGAATTTTGTGAGTATCAATCAAAGAAAAAAAGGGAAATTTTGAATTTAAGCGCTAGAATGACGTCAAGATCTCATCTATTTATAGTTGAACTGGTTAGATGTAACCGTAAATTCTATGCTAACAGTTTCTTCCGTCGCACTTCTCACTTGTGGAAATACCTTTCGGGTCATGCTTTCAGACAACTTTAATCTGCAAAAATTTAAATGCAATGTCAATCACTATCTACTATCCTTCTGATTACTCTTTCCACTTCCCGTTCATTATTAATGTTTCTATTCCTAATTCTTCCACACCCAGTAACCATTTACGTCTTAGCGGCTTTTCTGTCTTGCATAGGGTGAAATCTACTAAACAAAATAGTGGACTAATGAAGGAAATTCACAGAAATTGATGTAGGAATTACATACCCTCAAATCAAATATTTATTTTTTTAAGTTTGCTTGTTAGAATCTTAAGTAAAATTTAGAATAGTCGAGAAGAAAACTTGTTTACTCCAATGCCAACTCCAGTCAATTTTTGTTACGCTAAGGTGTAATTATTATTATTATTATTCGCTCCAGCAGATAATATTTTTGTCTTGGTCAGATGTCTGATTATCTGCCCATTATAGACTTACTCTCGAACCAGGGTTTCTTTTTTTCTTTTATTCGTCCTATCACAAACGATAGAAATAAGTTACATTTTCTCGACGTCGTGTGAACACTGAATGAAAGAAATGGTATATAATCAAATTCACAAAGATACAATTGAAAGAAAATTATTTTATAAAAATAGGATCAAACGAGCCGGTACGAATCTGACTACAACCGTGATATAGAGTTATTTTGAAAAACTGTTCACATACTCACTAGTGCTGAAACACAACGTTAAACAGTATTTATATTATATGCTGATGCTAAATAATGTATTTTCCTATATAATAAGCCAAATGAATATGTCTGTAATAACTGTCATAGAGTTATCTTCCTTGTACTGAGGATAAAAGGTGCAGAATATTTAAAGTTATCTCATTGGACTGCGGACATCTTACAGCAGTATTTGTTTTGCTAATGACGGACTATTCCGGGAAGATTATGAAGATCGTATAACAAAAGAGACTACGTAACTGGAAATATATATAAATAATTTTTTTTCATAAGTACACGAGTTTACATATGGACACTGAGGTCAACATTCAGCAGTGACATTTTATTTCATGCTTAAACGCAATCAATGACCTGAAGATTGTTTCATGTTTAAACACAATTTTCAGGGCAGTTTTATAATATATATATATATATATATATGTGTGTGTGTGTGTGTGTGTGTGTGTGTGTGTGTGTGTGTGTGTGTGTGTGTCTGTGTGTGTGTGTGTGTGTGTGTGTCGCAATGCATCTACAAATGCAATCAAGGCAAATTTAAAATTATACCAATATACCAAACAGACAGCTACTCTTTACAACAAATTCAGGAAAAAACTCCATGGACAAATTTAAACCAGCACTGAATATATCATAACCCTACACGCATGGTGCACACATGACGACCAGATATACTGGTCGAACCACACACATACATACACGCTCAAACAGGTATCCATGAAGAGCAAAGTTACATATACATACACTGGCAAAACAGACTACTCACGGGCACACAGACGAACACAGGAAGAATGTGTGTGTGTGTGTATGTGTGTGTGTGTGTTATGTATGTATATGTGTATGTGTATATACATATGCATATATGTGCATGCTGCTTCTTTATTATAAAACATTTTCTTTTATATATGGGAAAGGAATTTATATGTGCAGGCTAACAGGTATAGGAAGACATCTCTCATTAATACAATTTAATAACTTTCCGTTTCTTGCTTTCCAGTCAACTCTAATTTTCAAAAACTTCTAATGTCAATCGTCATCTTCTGTCTTAATTCCTGTTTTTTTTTATTGTTCCCTCCTTGATATTTTCTAATATTATTTCACTCCGTAACCCCTTACATCTTAATGGACTTATTGCTTTGCTTGGTAGGGGGAGATAGGAACTTTTTATTCAAATAAAGTGTGTATTGTTCATATAGTTTTTCTAAAGTTTTCTTTATTTAAGATTTTGTTTCAGAGAGTCATACGACGAGGTTTCTTTTTTCTATTTTGGCCAATAAATAGAATGCGAGTTGAAAGAATCTGACTCAGTAAACCTAAAACTTCATTCCAGTCAGAATCCTTTACGTCTGATATTTTTACTAAAAATGATGACAATTTTTAATCGAACAAATGAGACAAGCTTTCACAATTTTTGTAAGAATCATTCTTCCAAGAATTTGGAACTGAATGCTGGACAATCTCTTCACAGATGAGACTTGAATCAACAGAAATATGGTCATACAGAAGGATGCTGAGAATTCCATAGTTCTAACGGGTACATCAACGAAGTTATAGAGAAAATGGAAACAGAAAGGAGATTATTTAACAGAGGCAGGTAAAATTTCTAGGGCATATAATGAGGAGAGAAGGCTTGGAAAATTTGACACTCAGGGGACAGATTTAAAGCGAGAGAGAGAGAGAGGGGGGAAACAATGCATAACCTATCTAGCGAGCTTAAGTAAATGGATGGCGGAGTAAAATATAGGAGAGATAAAAACACACAAATTATTAAGAGCTACAAATGAAAGGAAATTGTGGAGATTCATGACCAATTACGCCCTGAACGGACATGGTATTAGAAGAAGAATGTATAAAAATCAATTATTATACCCAATAAACAGATATACACATTCAGACAAAACTAAAATATTAATAATGTAAAACTACCATGGAAATAACATCGTAAATTGTTTGAATGTTTTCATTTATAAGCAGCTATTTTCATTAGTGAATGTTTGAAAGGTTTTTGTTCTATACGCAATGTACGAAAATTGTTTGGTAATCTTCGCTGTATTGAGTTATGCGTGCGTCTTTCTCGTTTGGTTTCTGATCTTAATTTTAAACTTAATTTTACGACAGATAAATTATTCTCCATATTGGTCAGTCATATACAGGTGTTTCGCAATTCGACAATTGAATGTCAAATTTCTGGAGATCAGCCTTGAATTAATCATTGTAAGTTTTTCTTTAACTACGTTTTTTTTTTTCCTTCTTTGAATTCGAAATGCAAGATTTGTCTCGAAAGTCTTTCGTTCTTTATTCCTAAACCATGTTCTGTTGATCGAAATTGGTTATATTTAATCCTAGCTTGAAGGTCCATTTGATTGGTTAGCTTGAAGGACTTATTTTTGAGTGACTGTCTTTCTATCTTATGCTTCGGATTGACCGTAGTTTGGATTTTGATTAATGGAATCTCTCAAGGTTTTATGTTGTGACAATATTGAGTCATAAAACAAAGCGCAGCCAACTACTGATCCATGTCCTGATTGGTGTTTCTTTGGGAAAGAAAGACGCTTCTGGCATGTTTTCCATATGCGGCGTAAGCAGTATCAATGAAAAAGAGTATACTGACCACTTTACTATGAATGGCTTCATGAAAACGATTCATATACGTCTCTAAGGGCTTAAAATTGAAACGTTTTGTAAAAGGTGACCAGTTAGGGAAACAACGTTGTTACTACGTAACCTAGTTAAGACAAAAGTGAAATTAAGAGAACGTTTTAGATAAATATAAAGAAGTTTATAATTAAAATGCCAATCTGGTGACAGTGTGTTATCTACTATTATAACATCTATAGAGGATTATAAATGTCTTTACAAGCAATTACACAGCTACTGCTATCACGGAGGTATGAGACTCTTCCATAAATCTCACATCGCTCAAACATTGCGGGCAAGTTTAAGTGGTAGACAATATAGGTCCTGAAACTTCATGACATTTCTTCTCACTTAAGAAAGGTACTTCGTAAGTTATTTTTTTTAAATTGTTAAGACAAAAGTTGTTTATTAACTTCACTTGTCTTAATTTTTAAAAATAACTTTCTTTTACAAATATCGAAGTAAAGTATATACTTAAAAAAAGGATTAAAATGAATATCTAATGATAAATATATGCTTAAACGGACGAACTTAAAGAGTACATAATGAATATCATTGTCTATTTAATCTCTAATATGTAACGTTATCAGTTATTCGAGTTCGAAACTTCGCAAATTACAATCGATGTGCACGAACATTATATTCTCACGTGCGATGTAAGAGGGACCGCTCTTCTAGGATATATATATATATATATATATATATATATATATATATATATATATATATATATATATATAATATAAATATATAAATAATATATATATAATATAATATAATATAATATAAATATATATATATATATATATATATATATATATATATAATATAAATATATAAATAATATATATATATAATATAATATAATATAATATATATATATATATATATATAGGTCTGACGCTTGCGTTTAAGCATGGAACAGACTGTCGCCGCTGGGTTTTGACCTCAATGTCTACTTTTATATTTACATATTATCACTGATGTGGTGCACTTTAGCCCATAAATATACCATACCTACAAACTGTATATATATATATATATATATGTGTGTGTGTGTGTGTGTGTGTGTGTGTGCCGATACTACGGCACTTCCCTTCCCTTGCATTCTAGCTGTTAGAGTCGCCACTTACATTGGGGGAATCGTGGATCTTTAGCCTCGCCTGTCACGCCTTCTCCGAATAACTGAGTGCAAAGTTTATTCTGCATGATCTGAGGTGAGCCACATTCTACAAATGAATGATTAAAGGATTGACATTTGTGGGCCACACCACTCAGACGGCAATACTGAAAGCAATTTCTATTTCTTCTTCGTAAATTTGAGCAATTTCGGACTTGCTTCTATGAAGTCTTCGCATGAATTGTTTCGTGATTTTTTTCACACAATTTTTTTTTTTATCTTATATTTCATTGTACTGCTTAAATTTGTCTATTCACTAACGGCAATGCTACATATTTCAACGAATATTTCTTTCTTTTTTTCAGTGTACTTTTTCTTTTCATCAAGTCTAGTTTCACTCTCAGTGTTACTTAGTATTGTTCAGTCTTTTCTCCTTTTCAATCAATTTTTTCTGCTATTTTCTCCATAAATCGATCTTATATTTCTGGTCGTACACTTTTTATCAGCTTTCTATGTTTTTATCTGTTTGGGTTTTATATTTCCTTACTTCCTGCTAGGCAAATCATTTTTCATTGAGAGTTTATTCTTTCGTTTAAACTATCTTGAGAGATATAGAAATAGACATTGATAGAGAGAGAAAGATATGGCTAGAAATATAGATGGAGAGTTAGAGAGCTACAGGTAGATAGAAACAGAGAAAGCATTATTTTTTCACTCTTCCTATTTGTTGCTTTCACTATATACTATAGTAATAGATAGATAGATAGATAGAGACAGAGAAAGAGAGATAGATAGTGAGAAAGAAAGAAAGAGAGACCGATAGAAAGAGAGAGACAGATATATATCTTTATCTATTTTTCATTCTTCCTATCTTGCTTGTTTCTTTCACTATATACTATAGTAATAGATACGTAGATAGACGTAGATAAACATAGATAGACAGACAGACATAGATAGATAGATAGATAGATAGATAGATAGATAGATAGATAGATAGATAGATATAGACAGACAGGCAGACAGAACGGGAGTGACAGATGGAGATATCTTTTTTCTATTTTTCATTGTTCCTATCTTGCTTGTTTCTTTCACTATATACTATAGTAATAGATACGTAGACGTAGATAAACATAGATAGACAGACAGACATAGATAGAGAGATAGATAGATAGATAGATAGATAGATAGATAGATAGATAGATAGATATAGACAGACAGGAAGACAGAAAGAAAGAAAGACCGATAGAACGGGAGTGACAGATGGAGATATCTTTTTTCTATTTTTCATTGTTCCTATCTTGCTTGTTTCTTTCACTATATATAGCTGCATTTCTCTTTTTTAATCTCTCCATTCCTAAGTATATTTCTTTCTTTCATTCTCTTTATCTTTCCAGATTTTACACTTTCAATTTGAATTTTGTTGCATTCGTTTATTTATATTTTTCTTAGTTGCATTCTTCCATTGATTCACCATTTTTCATTCTTTTATCTTTTTTTTATTTTAGTTTACCTTTTTTCTAGTTTTTCTTTCTTATCTAAATTTTTCTCATTTTTTTATTTATTTAGCCTGACTTTCTTCAAAATTTACTTATCTTTTCTCTCTGTTCTCTTTATTCTTTTTTTCCTCTTAGTATTTTTGCATTCACATTCGTCCTATGTTTTTTGTTTGTTTGTTTGTTTTATTTATATTCTTGTCTGCTTTCTAGTCTAAACACTTTCAGTCCGTCAACGGCAAAAGCGCTCACTCCTCTTCAATACTTTGTCTCTTCACTTAGTAACGACGTACATTTTCGTCGAAATTTTCTTTTTGCTCTTAATGTCTTTTGCATCTTGCAAATGCGTGATTATGTTTTAAGAACTTTGTCAAACCAACATCCTTTTCTTATATTTTTCACTTGTCACTCGGTGTAGCTCGTCAACCTGTGCGTCTACCAGCCGATTTTTACCCTGTATCATATTACAAACATTTCTATATAAAATAACGTTCTCTTTATTCAGGAAAAACAAAACTGAACTGTTTATTTAATCTACAAAGGGAGAATATTCCTGTTCCGCTATCCATGTTTGTTTTAACTGTATACTCCTTTAACAGAACTAGGTATAATTGAGCTGTACTAAAAATATCAAGAGTCGATAGCACTAAATATAAATGGTAGAAGAATCTACTCTCGTATATTAAATAAAGTTTTCAGTTCGAAATTTCTTGAAGGTTACCCAGTTCCACAAACCTCTGAAGAAATCAAGAGGGCGCAACTGACAAAACGTTTTGATAGCAGCAATAAAGAATTGATAAAAAGAGCGAAGGAACTTAATCCGAATATAAATAATGTAAATAATGCTAAATCTTCATCTGGGAAATTTAAACAGAAATTATCTAAGTTTGTCGAGCATCATTATGACAACCTCCGCATCTTGACTAATGATGACCCAAGTTAACAGGTACTTCCTGTTCCTTCCCGGTTTTAATGGAATATCGATGTATATATTCTACGACGTTAGAATCTTGTTTTATGCCAATATTATCGTTCACAATTCTTCTACCATACTTTTTCTTTCTGTGCATACCTGCTATATCTATGTTTTACTACTTCTCAATCTCTAAATGTCTCATTGAGCTTTGCCTGCTTTGCTTGCTGCTACTTCATATCTCATATCTGTACTTTACTCTCATAGTTTGGTATGCAATATATGTAAAACTTTGTAAAAGTCTTAACGAGAAACGATTTTTTTTCTGGGTTTGGAATTGAAATTCGATTAATTTGATTCCATGAGATTAAATAAATCTTTGGGAGTAAATAATTAAAGCAAAATGTTCATTTGTCTCCGTTGATTTCTATCTTCGCAATGTATTGCATGGACATTGTTCAAATGAAATGTTTATTCTCAACTGTTGATATATGAAGGTAACATAAAAAATGAATACATACTAATGTATCTTACATTCCTTGATGAAATTGCGAAATAAACTTGCCATTTCGTTATTTGTAAAAGAATGGGTTCTTTGTTCTCATTCTGAAAGGGTGATAGTTAAAAGCTTCGTGCACATAGCAATTGAGATCAGTTGGTTTATAGAGTCAAGATTGGCATTGATTCTTAAACATGTTTTCATCAACCGGAAGGAAGAACTCTGTTTAAACGAGTGATCTGTAGACATTTTAAATTTACTACATTACCGGAAGCAGGAATGGAACTTTTTCCTGAAATATGTTTTCCTATTTAAAGTAAATAAAGCAATATTTACAGATTTTTCCACAGAACTACATTAGTTAATATGGAAGCTATTATTATAATGGCGTATAAAATCCTGCATCAGATTTCTTTAAAACCAACAGGAAAAATCTTTTCGAGATAACATGGGAATCTTGCAGGTGATAAATAAGCTTTCGAAAGAAGCCTGAATCCATTTCCGGACACGATTTTATCACACGCATGCGTATTGCGTAGGAAGATATGTACGGAGATTACCCCCAAAGTCGATCTCTAAGCTATCCAACAAACATATAATTAACAAAATATCTACAACAGAAAACGAAACATCGAAAATAAATCACCGTTTATTTTTTGGTTCCAACAAGGATTATAAAGTTCTGTTTACATTTTGTGAATCCATTATTTGATTTCTGATTTGCGAACAGCTTTTAGGATATCCGTTCGAAAAAAAAATTAAAAAATAAAACTAGTTGATTATCATGCTTTTATATAAAGGAAAGCAAAGAACGTAATAGAATTGAAGGCGAACGTGTTTTCTGTGGGCATACAGTAGTGTTATTAAAAAGTTGTATCACTAGGCTACTGAGCTCGATCTTCATAGAGACTAACTAGTCTCTATGACGAAGCTTAGATCAGAAAATAAAATGTGATTTGTCAGGTGAAGCAGTTGTAGTTTTCAACTGGTGCTTGTGGTCATTTTCCGAGCCAAATAAACCTTAAAGTTGACTGACCCTCTCCAAGAGGAAAACTGATATAGAAAATTCTCCCTCATCTGTCTATATTTCTACGATGAGGTATAGTAACTTTTTACACTATTTACATTGTTCAGACTATTGTCTTCATCTTTATTGTCATATTCACGACGTTTCGGCCGTTGTAAGCTCCGGCCTACTTCTGGTGATATACGTTGTGTTACTAAAGGGAAATAACTTAAACTGAGATATCCAGAACGGCATGGCACGTGGAACTAGAACAATCTACCCTAGTGAAAATTCCAACGTATATCAACTATAAAAGGCTGGAGCGTACAACGGGTGAAATGTTGAGAATATGAGAAAAATGAGGAGAACAGTTCCAACAATGTAAATAGTGTAAATATTCTCCTTTATTTTCGTTTAAGCTCGACTAAAGTTTAACTCTTTTTTGCTCCGGCCTTCAAAGAATTTCTGAATTAACTGCTTATTTAATCTAAGGATTTTCTACGCCTAGTAATATCTCTTCTAGTTTCTTTTTTTTTTTTTCGTAGTGTTCAGTTATTGCTAGTCTTATTACGACTGGATTGAATTCAATTACGATGTCACTAAAATCATGAATCAGCGCTTTAATGCAATAATCTTCTGTCTTGTGAGACCTTTGCTATCGAACTTGGCTACATCTGCCGCTGTTAAATTTGGTAGCATAGTAATGGTGCGTTCACCCCATGGATTGAGTAGTAGAGATGGACATGGAAACGAGAAAGCATAATTGATTAAATAAACGGTTCAGTTCGGAATACCTTAAAGGTTACCCGGATCAATAGACACCTGAAGAAAGCCATAAAGCGCAACGACCAAATTGTTATGATAATAATAAAGAAAAGGACATTAATCTGACTGTAAATAAGGATAATTCCTCATCACAGACATCCAGATAGAAACAATCTTTCTTCTTTTTCTTTTTTTGTATTATACTAAGCTATGAGGGAAGAGAGAGAGAAAGAAAGAAAGAAGAGACACACAGCGAGAGGGAGAGAGATGAGACACACACACACAGCGAGCGAGAGAGAGAGACACAGAGAGAGAGAGAGAGAGAGAGAAGTGACAGAGAGAAAGAAGAGAGAAGCGACATAGAGAAAGAGAGAGAGAGAGACACAGAGGAAGAAAGAGAAGAGAGAAACAGCGAGAGAGGGACAAGAGATTCAAACACAGCGAGCGAGCGAGCGAGAGAGGCTGGAGAGTGAAGAGACAGTGAGCGAGAGAAACGGTAAGAGAGAGAGCGAGAGAAAGACAGACAAAGAGAGAGAGAGAGAGAGAGAGAAAAAAACTTCTGTATGTGAGAAAGACTTATGAAGCAGTTGAATAAAATGGTCATCTCAGCATTATTGAAATAAAATGGAATAATGAGGAATGTTTGAATATTGGCAAAACTTGCTGCCATTTGATTTTCACCAGGGAGAGCTATCATATATTAGTGGTACTAGAAATTCAATTAGAACTAACAGTAAATATTTAGAAAAGGATAATTACTAGAAATTATGATGGTAATAATTATACAGGCTCTAATCGAAATCAATGATGAAGCCAAGATGAGTAATCATTGTGTAAATAAGTGTATTAAAAAAAAGTATTATTTCACTGGACAACATCAAACGATAAATATAACGTCACTGTTTTTTAACAGACAAGGAATAAGAACCGTCTTTATTATGGAAGGGAATGTTGTACCGATAATCATAGACCATAAATACATCATTAGAAAACTGGAACAAATACAATTGTCAAAATACAGCGAAGAAAACCATAATAAGTCACATCTTAAATCCTGTGCTTATGTACCAGTAAACTAAATAACAGAGGAATAACCGGAATCTGAGAGAAAGCGACACAGACGACCATTATATCAACATATTCCACAATAACATTAAATAATAGTGGAAAAACAGCGTTACTGAATACCGTGTTTTCTTGTGTATAATACGATAAATTTTGAAAGAAAACTAAAGACTAAAATGATCGCATTATACACAAGTACACGTTTTCAGAAATTTTTACTCAGCTTAAAAAAACTCATTTGAAACAGCACGATTGCACACAGTTTTGCATGCAAGTTTGATTATAGTTTGATTTTAATTTTTTAATAAAGCTTTCTCTCTACATTATTAACGAGACATTTTTTTTTAATTTTCATAGTTCATTAATATATAAAAAAAAATATAATTAAGTTATACCAGACCGATTAATTAACCTTAAAACACATTACCGTGTATGTCCAGTTAGCACTTTTCTCCGAAAATAAGTTTTGAAAATGGAAATTAGAAGAAATACGTCCAATGGTTAAACATCCGCTTTAGTTCAATTCTTTAATATTCTGAAAAATATTTTAGTGAAATATATGTTCGACATTGAAATTGAATTGAATAATATGGTACAACTTTCCAAAATAAATTATATAGGGATAGCTGTACTATGGAATCCTATGATACCGAAATTTAGTCCTTGTTTTTATCTTCACAGATACAGGGTTGTATTATACACGAGAAAAAAAACAGTAAATCAGTTTATCACAATTAAAATTGTTAATGTTTGTATTCCACTAAATACTGTTTAAAACTATTTCATGATAATTTACGACCTCAAAAGATAAGCGCTACAAAAATTCAAAATTCACTTAGCCAAGTAAAATCTGTAATACTTATTTTTTTTCTTCAAGTAACAAGAGATAAGGTGATAATGCAAGATGCAATTAATCGAGACAGAACTGAATTCCTCATAGCCACAGGTGACCTCTGAACCTTCCAATCCACACGACACGGCTGATGTGAATTGTTCAAATGTTGAAAAAGAAACTTAATTTGATTTTCTATGAAAAAAATATTACAAAAATCATTGTAATGTTTAAAACTTATTAAAACCAATTTTCCCGGTGAGGCAATTTTAAAATGGAGAAGAAAACAAATTCCGAAGGCGATTCTAAGACGTAATCAATACAGGATTAAAAACAAACAGATTTCATAATTTTTTCTTAATATTTCCATTGACGTCATCTCATATTTGGAATAAACATAGAAGAAAAAATGAATGAACCACATTCATTGATATTTACTAAGCTGAGTTTGGTATAAGGCACCTAGGAAGGATCAAATTTGTTATATAGAAATAAAGTGTCCCTGCTGACAGTGGAGTTTGAACACAGATCACCAGAGAGCAAACACAAGCATTCTCATTTTGAATAGGTAGATCACGTGATGCTAAATGAAATGTATATACGGGAATTAGCGTGGCGTCTAAGTGATCACTATACGAATTACTTCGGAAGTTTGGTGGTCAAACTCTCTGCCTCCGAGTAGAGAGGATCCCCAGACGACACTATGTCGAAGGTCAGAGTCTCATCTCGAGAGACAGGTACCCGACTCCGTTTCTACAGTGTCTACGGGCAATATTTGGCCGAACCTACGGGCTCAGACACCCCACAATAAACTTAGCCTTGTGCCGCATCCGACCCCGTTGGGTGGTAGGTGAATATTTCAATCTCCGAATTACTTCGGAAGTGTACTTGCTAAACTCTCTGCCTCCGAGCATAGAGGAACTCAGACGAAGCTTCGCAGAAGGGCAGAGTCTTGTCGGGGGCGGTAGACAGCTACCCGACCCCGTTGTTATGGGGTCTACGGGGAATTTTTGACCGAGCCTACGGGCTTGCATACCCCACTATAAATTTGGCTTTGTGTCGCATCCGGCCGCGTGGGGGGTTAGTGAATATCTCACTATACGAATTACTATTTGGATCACTATTCGTTCGAGTGTTATTCGAAGGCGTCTAACACCAGTATTGTTCAACGGCGTTAATACAGTTGTATCTGCGATTACAAAATCTCTACTACAACGAGCGTTACGAAAGTGACAACGAATATTCGTTGACATTACAAAAGTGGCAACGATTGTTCGTTGACATCACTAAAATATTACAATAACTGGAATGCTCTATGAGACCAGATTTTAAATAACTACTTTGTCGCCTTTTTTCTTATTCTGCTCTTTGTCATCGCTCGTAGAGGGCTTATGGCTATATCATTTTGAGAAACCGGTTCTCGTCCGATCACCAGAGTTAAGCAACGTCAAACTTAGTGACCGTTTGGGAATACTAGGTGTTGTAAGCTTGAATGTGCAGTTGGTGTAATGCATAAAGGTTCGGAATTAAAAATCGGAGAGTCGAGTTCGAGTTCCAGTCGGGTCCGTTACATTAACTTACGTGCAAATGCCCTTGGGAAAGGTATGCATCCACCTCTTCTCCCCAAGCTTAATCTAATATTCACGTGTAAAATAATAATAATAATAATAATAATAATAATAATAATAATAATATTCAATCCAAAAAATGTTTCGGTTTTAAATAATCTACAAATTTGATATGTCGTAAAAAAAAAATTAATGTATAAATCGCTTATGAAGAACAACTTCATTACACTATCTGAATTGATCTACATGTGTTTGCAAACCATCCTATACATTAGCCACCCCCTTTCAGACACAATCAGGATGCACATTAAAAAAAAACACGCAAATTTATTCATCGAGAAAATACAGCACTAATTGGTCCGAGTGGCCATCTAAAAGCCCAGATCTAAATGTTATGGATGACTGTATCTCGTGTATACTCCTAAGTCACTTTCAAAACCTCCGATTTTGATTCACTGAAGTGGAACCTAACTGAAGATTGGAAGGAAATTCCTCTTGACACTATTAGGGAAGCGTCTGCTTCCTCCTGGTTATCACGCTTACAACTTTATGTTGAACATCAAGGCAAACATTTCGAACATCTACGATGATTGTTTAGTTTATGCATGTATCATGATAAATAAATTTCTTTTTGAATTTAACGCTTCTTTACTGGCCACCCTGTAATTTCCTAAAAAATATTGTTTTAGAAAAATTTTCTTTCATTCTTAGTATTTTTTTAACTGTCTCAAATTATCGGGGGAAATCCTGTAGGACATGAAAAAGGTTTTTTTTTTTTTATGTGATATTCCTCCAGGATTAAGGCGATCATCAATCTCTTCTTTATTATCTGTGGATTGCAATGAATTCTTAGGAAGGATAGTGAAGTGTTTTCCTGTTGCCTTCTTCACGGATATAAATGCTATGTCCCTCCATGTTGTAGGTTATCACAACTTTCCTTTTTTCATTTCTGTGAATTACAATAAATTCTTGGGAAGGATAGTGGAGTGGTTTCCTGTTGCCTTTTTCACGGATTTAAACGCATGTCCCTCCAAGACGTAGGTTAAGGTTCCTTTTGTTCTTTTCTTTGAATTGCAATGAATTCTTTCCTGTTGTTTTCTCTACGGTGTGAATTCAGTTTCTCTTCTTATATTAATTAGCACTCAACACTAGAAACCTCAATGTACACTATTTCATGCCTTAAAAGTGGGAGGAGAGACGGTTTCATATTTTCCATAAGTGCATAAGTACTAAGTAAACGCAATATAAAATACTCGAAGTAGAGCCCGGCGTTGCCCGGGGATGTAACAGTAAGAGATAGATCAAGTATCGACCATCATAAAGACTGAAAAATAAAATTGACAAAGATTATTGTTTAAGGTTGACGGACACGCGTGTCTTTTTTTTTTTTGGGGGGGCGGGGTTATGAATTAGTCAAACTCAAACAAAAACATTGTTTTCAATCGTTATGAGCCTATCGATTGAATAGAATTTTATTATAAACAATTGTCTTGTAAATGGAATTTTAAAGCATTCTGAATGTAAAAATAAAGAAAAAAGTGTGCAAGACAATAAGAAACACTACCTGCCAAAACAAAAGTGAAGTTTTGTTGAAATCGGTTGAAAAATGTAGGAAATCCGATCCCATATATAAACGAACACACATACACACAAACAACCTGGGTTTTATAATAAGTATAACTCGATATGAGTTGTCCCCCTTTCATTCTGGCAACAGAATTGTGTTTTATCGTGTTTTCAAATTGATTTCGTACAAAAACAATTGTGTTTTTCCAATTTTTGGAAAGGTAATTTTACGCAGTCCTGTGAAGTTTTGTTGAAATCGGTTGAAAAATGTAGGAAATCCGATCCAATACACACACACACACACACACACACACACACACACACACACACACACACACACACACAATCTTCGTTTTATAATAAGTAAGATTTTTCTAAAACGCTAAGAAAATCGAAACTCGTTTTCACCGGGCTTTTGAAAAGCTACTTGTGATTCTGGCCTTATGAAAATGAATTCTTGTAATAATTTCATAAAAGTAAAACCAATATTTTATAGTTATCATAGTGTCAAGTCTCTCGGATATTTCCATTAACCAATGACGATCAAGTTAAAAGAATTACTTTCTAATATGCATCCTGTTTTAAAGACTAAAATGCTTGCAGGACTTCAGTGGTCGAATCGAGAAATTCAGAATATAA